CCAGAAGCCCACCAGATGGGGGCAGGACCACAATATATGGATCTCATCTCCATGTTGGCCACAGCCCAGGAGGACAGAATTTTCAATATGAAGCTAAAATGAAAAGCACAGAAACATGACCTCAAACTAGCAGGAGGAAAGTTCAAAACTAATCCTAGAAAGTATTATTTCACCAAAAGGGTAGTTGATGTTGGAATAGGTAGGGAGTCTGTCCCAAGCATGTTTGAATCCACTTACTGTCCACTACCATAGATCTGTTTGGACAAAAAGAGAACATATATACTGTAAATAAAAAAGACTGAGGCAGATTCAGTGGTCTACATGGCCTTTTTTCTGCCATCACTTGTCTAGGTTTGTATATTTCTAGGACCATACCAAGCCACATGCCCCCAACATGGAGGGGTACCTTGCTCCTTGCTGCAAGGGACCCCCAGCAAAGCACCTTGACCTCATGTTGATGAAGGCAAGGACCTCTTCAACACAACCTTGGCTCAGTGGATGTGGGGGTCTGCATGCAGGAGTTAACTGAAATCTGAAAGCCTTCTTTAAAAATAAGGGGACCTCCAGAAACCATCACCCCCCATGCAAATGAGTAAGTGGTACACTTAAAAAAATGTAACATAGAAATAAAGAAACACAAACATTTGACAAGATTTTAATTTAACAAAAAAAAAAAATCCCCAAAAAATGTTCCACTTCCATATATGACATTTGGCTTCTGCCAAACAGGAGACCGAACACCCAAAGTTCAGTCCAAATTGTTGGCTCATTCCTTTTGCTTGGCACCTGGAAGAGGATTGGAGGCTCTTGCTCGTCCATGTGGTTCTGCTCCAGTCAACGCTGAAAAAGTTTGGGTTGCTCATACATTTGCTAAAACGTCATTTTACACCCTCATGAGATTTAGTGTAGCTAGGCTATATACATGCCGTTGCATGGTCTCACATCCTCAGGAGATGATTCCGGTCATAAATAGGAAAATTACGGAAGCTGTGAAGGCAACATCTCTGTCTGCACTATAATGTTTGAAGATTGTAGGAACATTAGTGCCATCCACACCTGCAGTAAAGTGGTCACAATGGAGGAGAAGGTTTTCTAGAGGAATGGAATTTGGAACATCTTTCAGACAGAATTCTGGTCTCCTCATTTATGAAACAGAGTCTCAGATGGTGATTATAAGAGGTAAATTTGTGGAACTGCCACTTGCTTCAGGCCATTCAGTGGATCTTTATTACAACAAACACCAGAGAAAGGAAATGGGGTCTTGATATGAGTCTTAATCTTAGTACTTTGAAACATTTCTCAGTCTTTTGACATGTCTCAGCCTTCTCAATAACCTGATGGTTGCTCAATGAATTGGTTGTCCAATTCTTCAAGGCAGTAATGTGATTAAAATCACCAAGAAAGCTCCTGAACACTTACACTAGTCTTGGGCTTCCTCTCCTTGGAAAAGTGTTCTCCTGAAGGTGGGGTTTTGCTGTGCCATCTTACACTGAAGACTACTTTTTTAGTTGTGATCACTGGCAAGAAGGGTATTGGAGATAACTGCATAAGGGACCAAATAACCCTTCACTACTTTCTTTGCTGACAGGGTGGTTCTAATTCTGGTGTTAGAATTTACTCCCAATGTGACTTTGGACATTCATTCAAAGCAGGACATAGTCCTTCCAACTTCTCTTAAGATTCAGAGCAAGTAAGCAGTTTTTTCTTTTATTATAAAAAGTAGCTAAGGTGTTGATGGCTGAAGAACTAACTATCAATTAGTTGGTGTGGACAGATATTGGTCCTTAAAAGAATTTTCGCATGTACAGGAGTCTGGCGGCCACATTTTTGGTTTCTGTTTCCTCCATCAAATCCAGTTTTTGGCCATACTTGTGAACCACAAGGCTGCAAGTTTTACAGAAGAGACTCCATGCTCCACATGCCAGAACCAGCTGTTGACCATGGTGATATATAAAAAACGCCATTTCTTATGTACCGTGTGAGTAACTAATTTACAGGCACCTAACACTGCCTGTAATTTACTGCACTTAGTCTGGTGCCCCCTGGTGTGGCTCTACACGTTTTCTACCATCCCACCTATTGTGTTCGCTTTTACCAAGGTGTCCTACTATGCTGAAAATTACCACCAGAAACCGTAACTCATTGATGAGCAAGTTCTTTTAACTGTTTGTGGCAGATGAGGGGTATTTTAAGGCACTGAAGGAAGGAAATAATTACTGTACTTTACAGAATAAATGAGCCATCCTAAACCTTTGAAGTAATGATGTGCAGGTACCTCCCATGAGGCTGTGGATTTACACTGAGCACAATATGCCAATCATGCAAATGAGAGGCATTTTGGATCTGGTGAGTCTCTGCCAATAGGGAGTAGCGTCTCACTGTCACATGTAGTGACCACAGGATTCATTTCAGAGGACATTTGATTTAGTTTGCATGTTGGAAGTCTTTTTTGATGCTAGATTTGGACTTATTTGTGGACTTTTTGGTTTTTCACTTTTATCACAAATGGTGATGGTTGTTTTTTAACACAGCGCTGCTTGGATGAATGAGAAGAAAAGATAATTTGCACTTGTTTATTTTTCATTTATTTGGTTTATGATTTATTATTTTAAGACAGCAGCAGTGATTTTGTCACTTGTGCATTTCCTAAGCGTATAAACTAACTAGCTTTACTGTCTCATGTAGTGAAAACACTAAAAGTAAAAATGTTTTAAATTAAGGTTTCAATGATAAATACCTTTTTTTTTTACAATGTCTTTTTGTGTTTCAACAGCATGGTATAGAGGTCTTTTTGTCCTGCTACTTTGTTTATAACATGCATATTAAATTCATCAGAGAACATTTATGGTGCTTCTCACATTAGGAGGTATAATTATAAACCAGTAAATGTGACATTCACCAAATATTCACTGTAGTTGCATCTTCCACATGTATGTGGTTACCATTATTTGCCTCCTCAAAGCACACTGAAATATGGGGCTTCCCTATAAACATTGAACCTTAGTGTACTATTAGCTAGATAGGTTTAGACATATTACATGCTCATTTTATCCCGCAATGCCTCTATTCCATAGCAATATTTACCTGCTCCTATTCTTTTCCCTGTTATAAATGAGGTTCAGTGAAACTGAGGTTACTTTAAAAAAGTTTTTTTTTTAAAGGAATAATAACAAAAGAGGTTATTCAATCTTGGGTTTATTTCAATCTTGAGCCATATGTATTTTTGATATAAATGAAATTATTTTCCTTTAGGACAATCCATACTTTATTTCTGCAACTGGACAGCCAACTAGAAAAATGTGTTTGCAGAGCAAACAGTAGAAGTATTTTTTTCACTTTAAATATTTATCTATTACATGTATGAGCTTGCATTTTTGCTCTATTCATAAAAGTATAGGGATGCACTTGTTAAAGAACATGGTAGTCGCAATTACTGATACCCTACTAGGGCCACTGCTATTCAGAGTTTGGGGAGGTAGTATGGGGAGTGTCGTGCCAAAATTTAATTGCAAATATTATATCCTGCAGTGATATGTGCTTGTCCCTTGACAAGCTCACACCTTCTGTGGGTATTTACTGAAGTTTATAGAACACTTGATCTCTAGGCTGCCTTATTTCCCTTAATTGCAGACTATGAAATCCCTTTCTTTAATGTGTTCCTCCTATGATAAAAGCCACTTTGCAAATAATAACATCTGTGTGCTCCATGTGGGTATCAGCTTGAGGGATTTCCAGGTTAAAATAAATTCGATTTGCCTTGTAAATAATCCTGTTTAAAGTCACCTTTTTTATAGTCTATCCATGCTAGACATGAACAAGTAGAAAGCAGCTGTGCAGTGGATTTAATCACTGAGCATGCTGTGACTGTTTATTTAAATTGGTTGACATTAGCTTCAGGATTTGGATGTAGCTTGAATAAAAAAAGTAGTGGGGTATGTGTGATACTGAAATAAGGCATGTGTTCATGAGCAATGTGCAATTACTCTATTAGGCTGATTTTAATTATGTTAGCCGTGTTATTCTTTGGCTTCTAATTGCAACCAGTCAAATGTGAACTAAGAATAAATATATGTCAATGAAAACAGAAATGTTTAGAACCAATTCTATAAATGTTTCATGTAAGATGCTATTTGCCACTGTCACCACAGAGTCTGCTCTGGTTCACAGGTGCAATAAGATTTTCCATCATTTGATATTTATATTTTTAACTTTAAAATGTAAAACTTTTGTTATTTGTATGTTATTAGGAAACAAGTGTGCATACTATCCAAACATAAGAAAAATATATGGATTAAAAGACCCCTAGATGCAAGCCACTATCACAATATTACGGGTTCTATAGAAACAGGTTTCTTCACAGTAAGTGTGAAAATGTAGAATAGACTCCCTCAAAAATTAATTCTGGCCAGCTCAGTGGATTGCTTTAAAAAAAGGCCTGGATTCTTTTTTGAATACACAGAATATAACTGGATACTAACATTTATAGGTAAAGTTGATCCAGGGAATATCCAATTGCCTTTCAGGGGATCAGGAACTAATTATTTCCCCTGCAGGAGCAAATTGGATCATGCTTTGCTGGGGTTTTTGCCTTCCTCTGGATCAACTGTGGGTGTAGGATTATAATTTTTTTTTTTTTTTATGGTTAAACTGGATGGACATTTGTCTTTTATAACTATATAGACATAATTCAGGGTACGTGCCCTCTAAAAGTGTAATTCAGAAACCATTTGCTTATGCAATGAAGTGATACACAGATTATCATTTTGAAAGACAGGAATTTTTACTGTGACATTAGTGAACAATCTATTTAACTACAGAACGTATGTAGTTCATGTATTTCAGTAAGTAAAGTGGTGAGTTGGTATTCATATTACAGTCTTTTTTGTAACATTTTGATTTGCTTTAAACTCCAAAATTACAGTGTTTTTTGCTCCATAAGACGCACCTGACTATAAGACGCACCTAGGTTTTAGAGGAGGAAAACAAAAAAAAAATATTCTTAACCAATGGACTGCAGACATAGTACAGGAGATGACCAGAGACTGCAGACTGGTACAGGAGATGACCAGAGACTGCGGACACAGTACAGGAGATGACCAGAGACTGCGGACACAGTACAGGGGATGACCAGAGGCTGCAAACACAGTACTGGAGATGACCAGAGACTGCGGCACAGTACAAGAGATGACCAGAGACTGCAAACAGTACAGGAGATGACCAGAGACTGCAGGCAGTACAGGGGATGACCAAGAGACTGCGGACCTTTGGGGAGGGGGAGCAGGTACCTGAATATGACAAGTACCCACTCCCACTTTCGTGGAGCCTTTACTGTGAGCACCAGGGTGCCCACTGTGCATGCTCGAGAAGCGCTGCGCTTTGTGATTGGTCCGGAGACTTCTGGGACCTGTCATGTGTCCTAGAAGATACTGTACCATTCACAAAGCACAGCGCTGTCACGGCCGGGTGCCCACACTAAAGATGCTGGTGCCGGAAGACTGTACAGCGCTGGACCGAGGAACAGGTAAGTTTCTGCTGCAGAGAAGAAACGAGTGGCCGGCCCGGTATTCTGACATGGTGGCGGTGGCGGAAATACCGGACCGGCCGCTCCATATTCGCTCCATAAGACGCACTGACATTTTCCCCGTTTTTTTGGGGGGGAAAAATGTGTCTTATAAAGCGCAAAATACGGTACATCCTTCTATATAGATACTTCCTTCTATATAGATACTTCATGCTGAGTAAAGTGCATGGTGGTCACAGGCTCAGTGCCTTGTGTAGAGAGCTTACTTTTAATTCCAATAATTTTAAAGGATAAGTTTACCTTTATGAAATAAAATAATAATTTGCAGGTTTAAAAAATGTGAATGTATTACGTTTTTTCTAAGGAGTCTGCAGAGCATTGCACCAGTGATCAGCAGATAGTGGGTGCAATCTCAGGCTTCTACAGACTCTAAGTATTATTGTCTGCCCATACCCCGTTCAGGCAGGTAGTTACCTGAGAGCAGTAAGAATCAATGAACTACCAGAGTGATTACCAGTGCCCTCGTAGTTCATTGAAAACTACAAGCCACAATGACTGACAGTATTTGCGGGCTTATAACCTTTTTGAAATTACATAAACCCACTCCTAAAATAAATATTAAAAATAAACTAAAATACTCCTCAAATTATTTGCTTTTCTATAAATAAAGGAAGGTTTTACTGGTAACTCCGAACTTAAAACATTATCTTTTTTAAGGTAATGCACTAGATTTTTCAAATTTGTTTTTTTGAGGTACCACGGGATGAAATGGAATTTCTTCCTATTGGAGAATAAAGTTTGAACATTGGGATAATTTGTTGGACACTAATCTGTTGGACACTATTTTTATTTGTATTTTTGTTTATATTAGGACATTTTTTTGGGACACTTTATATTGGACTTTTTTTGATTTTTGTTTTTTTGAATTTTTTCGAATTTTTTGAATTTTAATATTTATTTTAGGAGTGGGTTTATGTAATTTCAAAAAGGTTATAATACTGTGTTACTTTCTGGGGAGAAAGTGTGACTTTTTGAGGGGTTTGGGGGAAGGTGATTATACATATACTTAAGTATTTGCGAGCTATTCATTCAAAGGAAGCTGTGAATGAATTATGTGACCCGCTGTCACAAAGATGGGGAGATCGAGGATGCAGGGTACAGATGCTGGAACATGTTACATGTTCCACCCTAAAAAGGGTGAACTTATCCTTTAACAGACTGCCCACAACTCCCAACTTTTAATCAAAATATGAAAATGGTATTTATTTGAAGCCTTTTATTTAAAAAAAAAAATGAGGAAAAGGATATTGTATTACTTACAGGACCTAACTGCCTATTTTTCTAGTACAGGCTGGGAATCTAAAACATGCACTTGGCATGTTGTTGCCAGAAACACCAAATCATTTCCTTTTTTTTTCCAGTTTTCATGAAATAGACCCACAGGGAAGGCAGTTTGAATAAAAAGCAGAGTAAACACTTAAAAGATTTGTTCTGCATTCATGCTTTAAATTGGAACCAACCATTGTGTAGTTTCAGTAAGCATTGAAGTAGATGTAAATACTAACTGGGTGACATTTCGTTTGCTAAAGTACTGTGTATCATAAACAACTGGCATGCGTTCCTTCTTTTAGGAAATACCCTTCTCATCTTTTTGTGCAACAAAGTGCTGATCTTCTCCTGCCTCCTTGCAGCCACTGCACGTGAATGAGTGAGGTTGTGAGGTTGCTAGGTAGATAGGTACTTTGACCCATAGGAGCTAGGTGCCCAAGAGGGATGTTCTGTGACAGGGTGAAGTGATGAATGAGGTAAGCAGGATACAATGTGCTATGGCCAGGGTGTGAGGTTTATAGAACTGGATGTTGTGTTAACAGGATTGAGTTGCCTGGGAAGAAATACACTTGTGAGTGGTGGATCAGGTGATATGGGGAGGGATGCACTATGACTAGGGGTGTAAGGGTATAGCCAGGATATGATAATGAGGGATGGGGGAGGGAAAGGGGGGGAGGTAACCAACCAGTTTGGAATGTAGTGTGTGCAGGGTCTGTGGTATAGGGCAGAAAAGTCATTGAACATAGGTACCTTTGATGCTTTGGTTTAGTTGATCACTTAAATGACCTTTTCTGAATAGCTCTCTTTCTTCACATTTTCCCTTTTCATTTTAGATAATTTGACTTAACTTTGGTAGGGGAAAGTTTTAATTTTAAATAATCCATTTTAGAGACAGGAGGTCAGGAAAAATGTCTTTCTAGTTTTGAATTATTGGAAATAAATTCTTGAAAAACCAAAATAAAGTTTTGAGTGAGAGTACTGTTCACCCCTGAGTTTGTACATGACTATATAGTAAGGTCTGGAGTTGAGTTTCCTACTCAAGAGGATTCCCAGTCTCCTTGGGCACAAACCTTAAACGTCTTCAAGTATATGCTTTTTTTGGCTCTAGCTGTGAGGTTAAATTTCAGTTTCAATTAAACTGCTTAAATTTTTCAGACTAGTTCTAGGTGTTTTATGTTCTTGCCATCAGGTTCTGGAAAAAAAGACATTTAGGGCCTATGTAGACAAGCTTTGAGCCTTGTGTTGATAGCCTCAGTTTGACATCAATTTGAGATCTGAGATCATTCAGAAATAATTAAGAGGTGCCTTTGACCTACAGATCACTTCCATCTGATGTGTTTCAAGTGGGCATTGCACTCTCATAGATTTTATATGGGAATGTGAAGGCCTCTTGAAACTAACAAAGCCTGGTGACACAGGCTTTTACTCTCAGATAGAAAGCCACGTGTCTAAAGTCCTCTTAATGTACTGCTTCAGACCCCAGATGAATCCTCCTCTTCACCCAGCTGCACTGAGGGTATCCATGGACAAGAGGTATCAAGAGCTAACAGTGAAGTAGTCCCAGATGAGAACTAGTTGGGTCTTGCACCTGACCTTCCTCAACCCTTATCTGGTCCAGGGGATGTAGAAGTACTCACACTGTCCTCTCTTGTTAGCTTTGTAGGTTGGTGGCTGTCTTCAGGCCTTACACTGGGCCGGCTCCTTCCCTGCTGCACAGGTTGTCCCCCCCCAGGGGGACAAGGGAGATCCTCCCTTCCAGCAACTTGCCTGTAGGTGAGGTGTGAGTGCACACACTTCTACCCACAAATGCCAGCAGACTCAGACACTGACTTCAGCACTGTGGACATCCCAGAGCGGGATGATCAGAATTGGGCAAGAGTGGGCAGAGTTGGGTGTATACAGGTAGGAAAAAGCTGCCTGTTTCATCTGTAGCTACAACTAAATTGAAGGCATTGAGGGGACTGGTTATCCTGTTGCACATAGAGCAGAGAAAGTGGTCTGGTCTCCTGGAAAGGAAATGGGCTAGAGAAATTCTTGAAATGGTGACCTTCAAAGGAAATCACAAGAATACTGTTGAAAATCTGTAATGTGAGAACACAGGATAAAAAGTAAGAAGTAAACTAGAGTATATCCCTACAGACAAATGTTTGTTTTTTTTATTGATGAACCTTAAGTGATGATAATATAACATTTTACCAAATTTATCAATTTAAAAATACATATAGGTTGAAAATGCCAAACAAGACAGCCTTTTTCAGCTGATATGTTTTAAACTCCCACTGTGTTCTGACTGGTCCTGGAAATGATCAAATCTGTCTTGGATTGCAGTATTCCAACTCTATAAATTACTGTAAATCTTCAGTTCGTTGATAATATGTGTTCTGGTCTTCTGCAGGCCGTGTTCCAATAATTTGGAAAATCTGGCTAAGATAATCTGTTTCAGTATTCTTTGTGTCCAGAGTGTCACATAGGGTAGGAATGAGCAAGGCTGTTCTAGAAGCTATTCTGACTGCATGTTATTTCCTGCATTGGTTTTTCTATTAGCAATAGAGGGGAGTTAGGTAATTTATTAGGTGTTCTGGTGAAGATGAGAAAAGCTTATCAACTGTAGAGGTTGTTTCAGGGAGGCTTCCATTACAGAAAGACTAAAATGTTGCCACCATGGTAGTTGCCATTAGAGATGAGCGAATTATTCAAAAATTCGATTCGACTGATTCGGCGAATTCGTGAAAAAATTTCGATTCGAGTCGAATATATTCGCTGCGAATTTAACTTATAAAAGGGTGTTTCTAGGCTTCAGAGAGCCTTTATATTAGTGCAGAACACTGTACCTTTAATTTAAATGCCCTTGGAGTCTGCTGGGGAAGAGAAATAATACTGACAGTCAGTATGACATGCAGATGAGTGCCGTCGATCTTAGAATCACCGCACACTTCACTCATTTGGGCAGTCACGGGGCCAAAACCAGAGTGTGGAGCCACAGTGTGGCGGTGGAGGCAGCAGCAATGGGAGGCCATACAGCACCCTATGACAAAAATGGAAACCACCAGCAGTGTGAGGAGACCTGAAAGTGGCACATGGCAGAGTGTGGCGATGGAGACAGCAGCAATGGGAGGCCGTACAGGGACCCATGACACACTCTGGACCTGGCAGCAGCATGAGGAGGCGGTACAGGGGCCCATGACAGATTACGGGCCTGGCAGCAGCATGAGGAGTTGGTACGGGGGCCCATGGCAGATTACGGGCCTGGCAGCAGCAATGGGAGGCCGTACAGGGACCCATGACAAACTCTGGACCTGGCAGCAGCATGAGGAGGTGGTACAGGGGCCCATGACAGATTACGGGCCTGGCAGCAGCATGAGGAGTCGGTACGGGGGCCCATGACACACTCTGGACCTGGCAGCAGCATGAGGAGGCGGTACAGGGGCGCATGACAGATTACGAGCCTGGCAGCAGCAACTTGGACAGGAGGACGTTCAGCTTCTGCACCGTCGGGTGCGTGCTCGCAAACTGTTGTCTCTTGGAAACGGATTCCAAGAAAGACTGCTGACGGAATCCGTGAAGAGGAGTAGCAGGAGAAGGAGCATCTGAACGAGCGGAATATGCCAACAAGCGACAACAGGGGCCCATGACAGATTACGGGCCTGGCAGCAGCATGAGGAGTCGGTACGGGGGCCCATGGCAGATTAGGGGCCTGGCAGCAGCAATGGG